TTATGGGCTGGGTCATGGGTGACCGGTAAAGGCCGTCTGGTTTTGTCAACCACCGTACCCACACACACACACACCCTCCTACAGTCATCTTGTCACCTGAACAGAGTGGGTGTGAAAAGAAAGGTTAGAGTAGATGCAGCACAGGTCGGCTTCTTTTTGCACAAGTTGATGCTTAAGTCACGACTGTGTCTGTCTCGTCCGGGTAGGGTTTACCTTTGTCTCTTGCGTCAGTGGAAAATTTAGAGTTGGGGTGGTCTTTTTAGCACCGCGGAGGAGGTGAAAGGTTTTCGACTAGAAGCCGATGGCAGTGTTTCTAGGTCCTTCACCTTTGCACATGTTATCTTCTGCCATGGGCTCTACAATCTTGTCAGTAATCCATAGTCTTCTAGAGGTGTTGCATTGCCTTCTTTATCTAAGAATAAGTTTGACGATGGACTTTGTGCATAAAATCACAGCCTATTATGACTCAGCCTTATATAAAAATTATTTTTACAGGAATTGTCTGTGAACGGAAACCCGTTGTAGCTTGTTTCTAGTAACGAGTAAGACACCTCATGCCTCACTGAGGCGCCGAACCTCTAGCTGCTGAGTCATTCAGCAACAGAACTAACAGTGAACTATAGTACCTATGTCGGGAGTGCGGTATAACGTCTTGGTCATATATAATTTATGCTAGTTGTAGTACTACTTCCTTGGGGAATAAGCTTCCCGTGGTTATTTCACGGTAGTTCAATATATTCGACTGAAATATTCATTGAAATTTCGTATCTGACACTAAAGAGTCATCTTCTGGTCACCCCACTCACTAACTCATGCAAGCATTTTTTAGTGACAGAAGAACTGCGAACCAGGCTGCAGTGGCTCCTTCTTAATGTGCCATTGATGGTATTCTCGGAGATGCGAGATCCTAGCCGTCCTTACAGAAGAAGGTCTACTGTGACTCACCTGGGCTGACCTGTTTATCGTTGTTAACCCATGCGTCCCCGCTAGTTTCTGGTTGTGTCGAACTTTTCTTCCCATCACAGCGAGACGTGTGGGTGGGGCAGCAGGAAGTGAGGTAGATACCGCGTAAGCCTGCCTCCCAATAAACTTATTTACGCAAAAGTCACCCCTGCCCACACACTCCATTGCGCACGCGATGGGCGTCGGCCCTTGTGATGGTTAAACTATCAATCAGTCCCATCCTTACACACATATTTAGCAATCTGTTTTCGAGGTAACCAAAGCGATCTTCAAAACAGAGATATCAGGGCGTGAATTCGTTTACGCCTTCTCTTCTGGCTCCGTTTAAAGTCATTAATATAAACACACTAGATTCGCGAGCTGACTTTTGAAATGGCCTTATATTCCGAAGTGTCTGTGTGTCGATTGTGAGTTAAACTGAGACGACAAAAGTGGTCACCGCCACCGCCGCCATCGCTAATTATAGCATATTCCTCTTGCAGACCCACGTTCAGGTATTTCAACTGGGTCACGTCTCTCCTCGGCATGCTCGGTTGTTTGACGATGTGCATCCTGATTCAACCGGTCTACACCCTGGGCTGTCTAGTGCTGCTCTCGATCCTCTCCTTCAGTCTCCACTACCGCCAACTGCGGGTCTCTTGGGGCAACATTGGACAGGCCCTCATCTTCCACCAGGTTCGTCACCTTTTTGCGCTCCCCATCCCCCGAATCCACCTAAAATAAGCGTCCAAGAATTGCTTACCGTTAAAAATGGGGAATCAGAGTGGGATACCAAAAAAAGAGTTTATTCTTGTGAAATTTGTAGAATCCAACCTCGTTGCTACGAGGCAGAAAGTGATATGAAATGAAGGCACACTTTGTAAATTTTCTTCCATGACGATAATTAGACTAGATCGAGAAAAAGCAGGAGCCGTGTCCATCGCGGGAATCATCGTTTTATCAGCCTGAGCTTTAGAACTCTTGTGGGAGTCCACTGCCAGGACAGTTTATGAGAATTAAAGACCGATTAAATCCCAATGAACAGTCAGACGTTTTGTGCCGCATATCATGTATAAACTGTCCCCGAAATTACACGGGACAGACTGAACGCATGCTTGAATCGCGAATACACGAACATAAGCTGGCTGTACGACGGGGTGACGCATTATCGCAAGTGGCTGCCCAAACCTATGAGGGGGGTCACGAATTCAACTTCACAGCTGCGAGAATAATTGCCCACGCCGCCAACGAGACAGACCGACAACTGATCTCCCTGCGGTGGATCTTTCTCCTCTCCTCTCCATCTCTGTTTTTCATGACGGAGCAACCCCTCCCGACTACGCTGCTCGGACTCCTCCTTGCGGCCGGGATTGAGGCCAATCCGGCGGGACTCCTGATCCAACAAGAGCTACTAGCCAGCCAACCGACAACTGATTGAAGCTTGGGCCGACGTATCGAGCTGGCTCCCGCATACATCGCTCTAAGCAGGCCTCTCCAGGCTCACAGCACTAGTGGTTAATTGGTTCCATTCCCCCCCCCGCTCCTATGACGGTTTATTGGACCCTGCCCCCTATAAATGTTTCTTGTTTTTCGTTGACGATTTCATCTCTAATGATGGACTCCCACAAGAGTTCGAAAGCTCAGACTAATAAAACTATGCGATCTCTGCCTCATAGCGTAGAGAAATGTGTGATTTTCCTCAGAAACAAGGTATACAGCATGTAGTTTTGAACCCGTGGGCGCAAGTGTAACGACCGGTGGGGTTAAACGTTATTCGGCAGTTTAATAAGTTTTTCTACGCCGAAAAGTACCCTTTCTTTGAGTATAAAATTCAAAGAACGCGTAATTTGCTACCAATCGGTTACAATTAAGAATCATTTTGGGCATATCTTCTATAAATTTGAATTTATAAGGGCATTGAACATCAATGAACAAATGCTTATTACTTAAGTAGCTATTTTTGCAGAATATTTTATTTTGCAGGCGGTGAGAAAGAAGCTTGGACAATGGCCAAAATCCAGACGTGACTGAAATATCTTGCGATTAGGCTGCACAATAATTAATATCACTATCCTACTTGAATTAGTTTGTTCGAATCGAAAAGGCATTTTAGAATTTCAGTGGAGATTTCATAACACAGGGCTTCCATTATAGTTTCTTGATGTAAATTTGAAGATAGGTGTGCGATCAATACAAGGATGAAGTGTCTGTTGAAAGAAAGAATGAAAAAGTAAGTTTTGGGTCATGCCTTCAGACTCGGGCAAGATTACTCGTTCGGCTTTTAGTGCGATTTCACCGAGGTGACTGCAGGGGATGTACTCCCGGCCAGTTTTGTTTTGCCCTCATCTCGTTTTCTCTTCAAATTAATCTTTACGCATTTAGATTTATTGCGCTTTACGCACATATTTTCAATTTTGTTAAGTAAATCTTCAATATACTTTTATAATGTGGTGACCTCAGATTGTATCCCAAAAAGAACGCCACGTACACTTTATGCCGAATTTTACTTAGAACAGCCTCAGAACAAATTCATGGGTGTGCCGATTCATCAAATGCAGGTGTTAGTATTTTCACGTTTTTATGCTACAACTTTGTAACCTAACAGTAACCCCTGCTACTACCTGCGTTAAAGCATCGTCCGCATGCTATTTTAAAAGCACACCCCACCAGTATGGGCTCTGAGCTGTAACCATTTCAGCCTACTACTCAAGACTAATAGTGACCTTTATGCGGCACGCAGGTTCGCAAATACCTTCTTCTCCTCGACACGAACAAAGAACATGTGAAGTACTGGCGGCCGCAAATCCTCCTCCTCGTAGCCAATCCCCGCTCGGCGGCTTCACTCGTCCAGTTCATGAACAGCGTGAAAAAAGGCGGTCTCTACGTGCTGGGTCACGTGATAACCTCCTCCGCCTCCTCCTCTCCCTCCGCCAGCGGTGAAGATGTGGACTGCCTCGAGCCGGACCCCTGCACGCTCGCTCAGACGTAAGCGCACACAAAGTTAGCTGTTGACCTTTAGCTTCTGTCTTATTCGCCTGATTTTTTAAAGGCTCAAGGTTTTGTCACAGCCTAATGCGAATTCTTCCTTGTTTTTTTGCCTTTTTGGCACGCGCGTTTGCTTTGCTTTCGCTCCGTGTGCCTTTTTGCTCTCTCTCTCTCTCTCTCTCTCTCTCTCT